AAGCAGAGCGGGCGGGAGACGTAAAGACTTAATTCCAGGTTTACTGAGCCCCTCCGGGTGAGGGGAGCCGCAGCCGTCAGCCTGAGCAGCACCAGCGGCGGCGGCTCCCAGCCTGGCGCGTCTCCCTCGGGAGGCCGTCCCCGCCCGCGCGCCCGCCCGCCCCACACAGCTCTTTAACCCGGGTGCCCGGCGCCTGCCTCCTGGGTGGATCCCTCGTCAGCGTTTCACACCGGGGGAGCCTGGGGGCAGGGGCTGGGAGCCTGGGGGCGCCGGGGCCTCAGTCACCCGAGGGGCGTCCCGGGCCAGCGCCGAGGGGAGAGGGCACGGCTTGCAGCCGCCTCCTCAGCCTCCTCCAGCCTGCAGCGCGTGCGCTCCCTCCCGGCCTGCACCGGGCTTCTGACGGGAAAAGCTACGGCACAGCGGCAGCCCGGGGACTGGCAGGCTGCTGCGGGCGAGCGGGCGGGCGGGCGAGCGGGCGGGCGAGCGGGCGAGCGTGCCCCTGAGGTGGAGGATGAAGCGACTACGACGTTTACCTCATCCTCCTCCGGCCCGGCCGCTTCCGGCCTTTCCGGGTCGCCCATCGCGCAGACTCTCGCCAGAGCTCCCGGAGCCGAGGGGCTGAGCGCTGCGAGCCAGTGGCGAGCACGGCCTGACTGACTGACCCAGGCTGGCAGCTCGTCCGCACTGCGCGACCTCCCTCCAGCCGCGGCCGCCCGGCGTCGCGGGAGCCCTGAGGGCGCTGCCGGCGGAGGCTCCGCCCAGGCTCGCTTCTCCCTCAGAGAGGGAAAGAGGGGGGAGAGGGAGAGAGAGCCGCCCCCCCCAGCCGGCCCCGCCCCGCAGAGAGACCCGCCCCCGTCAGATGGCCCCGCCCCGCAGAGAAGGATCCGCCCCTCAGCCGGCCCCGCCCCGCGCCTCAGAGAGAGATCTGCCCACTTCATCCGGCCCCGCCCCTCACATCAGAGAGAGACCCGCCCCCTAAACCCGCCCCGCCCTGCAGACAGAGACCCGCCCCCTCAGCCGGCCCCGCCCCGCCCCCTCAGATGGCCCCGCCCCGCAGACAGAGACCCGCCCCCTCAGCCGGCCCCGCCCCGCAGGGAGACCCGCCCCCTCGGCCGGCCCCGCCCCGCAGAGAGACCCGCCCCTCAGCCGGCCCCGCCCCGCAGGGAGACCCGCCCCCTCAGCCGGCCCCGCCCCGCAGAGGCCCGCCCCCCAGCCCTCCGGCTTCTCTCGGCTGAGCGGCGGGGAGGGGAGGGGCCGCTCTGCCCCGGGAAAGGCCGGGGGGCGCGGCGCGTGCTGCTGGGCGCCCGCGACCCCATCCCGGCACCGCGGGGCCGCGAACCCACCCAGCGTGGACTGCGGAGTGAGAGCCGCCTCGCACGAAACCGAACCGCGGAAAGCACGGACGCCCTGCTTCTTTTTCTTTTTCTTTTTCCGGTAGATTCCGGAAGGCGGCTCGCCCACCGAAACCAGGTGGTGCTCTGGGCTCTTGAGCCCACCCCGGAGCGGGGCTGCGTACCCTTCGCCGGCCGTAGGGCCGCCGTGAGCGAGCGCTGACGAGAACCGTGCGTCCCGTGCGTGCGTGGAGACACCGGGCAGCGCCCCCTGGCGCCCGCAGTCGAGTGGTGCTGCTGGGCTCGGACCCTCTGCAGAGCAGCCAACCACCAAACGGGGTGTCTGTGTCGGAGGTGGTGTGGGGGGCTCCGTGCGAGGTCCCAGCACGAGCCGACCGCGGACCCCGGACTCAGCCCCTGCAGGCGGCCTGCGCAGTGGTCAGAATCACTCCCTTGCTGGCCGCAGGGACAGTTTAGTTTTCTAGTGCTGGGGCTTCCTCTCCCGCCCTCATCTTGAGCCCTCAGCCCATGGAGATAAAGAGGCCCAACGTGACTTTCCTTGGAGTGGTGGCAGACACCCATGTGGTAAATAAACACAGATTGCAGAGACGATAAACACCAGCCCAAGCTCACACACACACACACACACACACACACACACACACACACACACACACGAAACACGAGGACGTTGACCCTGGAACCACTGGTAGCAGAGATTCCGGTCCCCTCATTTGACAGCTGTGTGCATGTGCTTATGCGTGAGTACCGGTTAATTCACTATACAGACGAAGTCCAGGACGGTGTTCACTTAGGAGGCTGACACACAAAGATCAGAAGCTCAAGGCCAGCCTGAGATACATAATGAGACCGTGTCTCTAAAAACAGTATTTGGGGAAGGAGAAAATGAAATAATAGATTGCAGTGGAACCAAATTGCAGGGTTTTTTTTTTTTTAATTGAAAATGAAACATAGTTCTGGACAAGTAAGAGGTCCCTATCCACTTAGGAACACATCACTTTTATCCTCAGCGGGCATTTCCAGGGCTGTGTTGTTTCATTGGTTGGCTACCTATTAATCCAGTAGGCGTCACTGGCAAAACACGTAATTCACACAATACTTTCATACAAAACATATAAACATGTAATACTTTTCACTCCTTGACTAGGTGGTGCATGCCTCTTAAATTGCATCATGGAACTGCCCAAACATTTTTTAGATGAGTATGAAAATTCCTGATTCCTTTATTACACTCTTCCAAAATATTTGCACATGGAAGTCTCTTTACTAGCTACTTCACAGATGTGGCCCCACGTGACTCTGACCCTTGATTCCCCAGGCTTTCCCTCTGAAAGCCAGACAGGATGACAAGATGCCTTCACTACCCCATGACTCAGCTCTGCACAATCCACATGATGAAGACAATGCAAACATCTACCACCAGTTCAAATAGCCAGCCGGTGCCTTCTAAACACAGAAAAGAGAATCTGGGGACAGAAATTCAACACGGGAAAAGAAAGTCCCCCGTAAACAATTCCCTGGGTGGCCCTGGGGGTCAAGTCTTGAGGCTATATTCTCAATCAAAATAAAAATCTTGTTTTGAAAGTCCTGGAAGTGTTTGGGGTTTAACAAGCCATGTCCACTATGCAGAAAGACCCCCGATGGAGAGGGCTGCACATTCCGAGGTGTACAGGCTGGAGGCTTGTGAAATTGACTGTGTGGGATCATGAAAACTCAATACGAGGCCATGGGAATGACAGGAAGAACGGGTTAATACATGTTCCCAGGGCTGGGAAGATAAGAACACCAGCTGCTCTCTTCTGGGTTCAATTCCCGGCTCCCACATGGCAGCTAACAACTTTCTGTGACTCTGGTTCCAAGGGACTCAACACCGTCTTCCGGGCTCCATGGACACTGCATACATGCGGTGTGTAGCAGTACAGACACACATGCAGGCAAAACTCCCATAAGCATAGAGTAAGACTGAGTAAATCTCATTTCTTCATCAGCCAGAAGCGGTGGAAGGCCCTCAGTAAGCAGTATAGGATGACTACAAGTCAGCAATGCCTTTTAGGCAGAAAAGTTCAGTCCTAAGCGTGGATCTCGTTATATTCGCTGTTGTAGCTCTGACAATCTCAAAGGCATAGCGAACAGAGCATTTGCATCAAGTGAATCAGCAGCCCGTCTGTCTGCTTCTCAGTAACTGTGTGAAGGGCACTTTACCACAGACATCCCAGGCACTGGCACATCCAGGAAAAACACAGAACAAAGGGTACCTACGGTCCTAAGTTAAAACTGGTTGTTGCAGTTCATCAATTTAAAAAGGCTCCGCAGGTGAAGGAGCCTCGAATGCAACGCTGGTGTCCTGAGTTACATCCCAGGAACCCACCTAAAGGCGGGAGAACCAACTCCACAAAGGTGTCCTCAAACCTCCACACCTGTGGAGTGTGGTTACAGAACAAGGTTTCACGTATGTACTTACGAACTACAAGCATGTATGTGATTACACTCATCACCACCTTCTTTCAGAGTGCATAGAATGTTTTCGTGAAATAGTTATGCTGAAGCTAATGCTAACCGGCTCGGAATCTAAAGATGGAAGCATGTCAAACACATTAATGCTCAAGTATTTTACACCAGCTTGGCTTTACAAAATGTTTCTACATTAAACAGCTCATGCTGGATTTCTGAATGTTCATTACCTTCCCCTTTCTAAGTTTTGCTACTTCTAGAAATCTAGTGCTCAAACTCCAAGCCTGTGCTTTTATTTTTCACTTGTTTAGTGCCTATATCCTCATTTGTTACCCCAATCCACTTGTTGATAGTTGAGGGTTATGTTTTGCTATGGGCAGAATTTTCCCAATGAACTAAGGCACAATGTGTTTATTCCCTGAGCGCACTGAATGAATGTGTTAGTGGCGATAATCACATAAGCCTTCTGTTTCTGTAGGCGATGAGCTGACTCCATGAGACAGATGAAAACCCTTTATGTGTGTTGCTGGCTACCTAGGAGCAGAGGCACTTGTGTATAAAGATCCTGCAGGCTAATGTGTGTTACATAAAGTTCACCTAATCATTACTGTGCCATAAGCTTGCCACAGTTTATTTAACTTTGTCAAGTTTCAGAAACAAGTAACCTATTGTATATAACATTGTTGACTTTAGGGCATCCCACATCTTTAAAGTTCTAGAGACCGCTAGGGAAAATAACTGAAGGATAAGTCTGTTGTTAAATCTTTAGCTTTTGCAAAGTAGCATAGTAAGAACATCCAGATGGCCACACGGTTGAAGGCGCCAGGCTGAACATAACAACGCAGCTAGAACCTTTCTGGTACATTTCACTATTCTGTAACTCAGTTGCATGATTGTACTTGCCACAGAATACTACTGCAGTCCAATGTTAGTACCGGTGATATAACTTAACAATTCATTACTCAGTAGCTGGATAATCTTCATTAAATCATGAGACATAGAAAGTAATGAAGAGAAAGTTAATGTAATCAGCAATCTATGTGTCTGAATTGAAGACACATTGTAAATGCATGTGAGGTAACTGAATGCTATTTAAAGTTTTATCTGTATGTTCACACCCATTTCAACCACTAACTACCCAGGCAGTCCATTAAAGGCATATTCATCCAGCCCTGATCAAATGTGAGCCAGGATTGATCAACTGTTGTGCTTTTCACAGACTTCAAGTAGTAAAGACTTGGCTTTAAGAAAACTTGATAGTAGATTTTAACCCATGAGAGAAATGGAATGCCCTCTGGATCGAGTTTTAAATTCACCCAGATGCTGCTCTCTTATGAATGAAGATTGCTGGCTTCCATCATGTAACGTATCAGAAAAGTGACCAAGAGTCAGACAGTGCCCAGGTACCCGCACTGACAAGCCACAGGTGAGTCTCTCCATATAAAAACACGAGAATTATTTCAGCTCAAGCTTTACCCTTGCAGTTGTCATTAAGTACATCGAAACAACCCTATCTTATCTTTATAGCGGGAGCCTTTTCTGGGAACATAAATGTAGTAAAAAGTAATTTCTTTTGAAAACCCTCTCAAGCCCAGCCCAGTAGCCACGACAGAGCCATCTTGATAGTCATACTTCAGGGAAACCGAGAAGCAGCAGAGCTTCAAAGCCAGTAAAGTTCATTCTTGGTCTCCTGATATGTCTCCGGTTGTTTCACTGAATCGCTAAACAAGACCAAAAGAGAACCTTATTTTATATGACTTTATTTTACATTTAGAACCATTTTATGCGTTACTTAAAAAACAAAACCAAAAAACCTCACTCTGCTTTTACTGTTACTAAAAGCATTTTAACCAAAATCTTGATTTAGGAAGACATTTCGCATTATTTTAAATAACGCATTAGTTTAAGTATCTTCATTCTTTCAGTAACTAGTAAAAATAAATTTACAATTAGGATTTCACGTGTCC